CGGTGGGGGGCATACAGAGCTGCCGCCCGAGGCTGCGGCGCAGCAGCGCGGCCGGAGGGCGACCTCTCGCGGCCAGGCCGGGTCCCGCAGCTGAGGCGAGCGGAGCGGGACCCACACTGCCCGCAGGGAAGGAACGGCTGGAGCAGCTCTGAGGACTCCGTCGCTCGGCGGTTGTCCCCTGAGAGCAGCGCTGGGCTCATTAGGAAAGCTGAGGTTGTTCAGCCTTGGGAAGAGGAGGCTCGGAGGAGACATCAGCTCAACTTCCAGTGCCTAAAGGGGCTGACAAGAAATCTGGAGAGGGGCTTTTTGCAGGACATGGGGTAATGGCTTTAAACCATGAGAGGAGATTTAGATTAGCTATTAGGTGGAAATTCTTCACTACGTGTGTGATGAGGCACTGGCACAGGATGTCCAGAGAAGCTGTGGCTGCCCCATCCCTGCCAGTGTGCAAGGCCAGGCTGGATGTGTGTTGGAGCAACCTGCTCTAGTGAAAAAGTTGTCCCTGCCCATGGCAGAGGGTTGGAACTGCATGAGCTTTAAGGTCTCTTCCAACACAAACCATTCTAGGATTCACAGTGGAGCTCCTAGGGTTCCACAATGAGCTTCCGTTATCCATCAAAGCCCTGACATTAACTCAAGATCCCACTGCTCACTAACACCAGCATGGCAGTAGTACACTACAGAAAGCAGTCACTTGTGAGCACAGAGCATGGTCTACACACAGCCCCACTCCATCCCTCCAGCCAGTATGACTCTTGCCCTCTCATTCATTCCTCAGTGCCTCCTTTGCTCCTTCCCTCTCACAACTTCCTTAAGCACTACTCATATGCTATGGGAAGAAAAGCTGCCCAGCCTGGAAATTAAAACAATTAAGAACTTCAATTGCACCTTGATACTGAAAAAGTGGGCTCTGATTCCTGGCAACCTATTCTCTGCCACCCCAACAAATGACCTGACTCATCAAGCACCTATTGAGCCCAACAATATTTAACAGTATTTCCCCTTTTCCTTCCCCTTCTTCCATTACAGGAGACTTGGAGAGGGCTCCACACCTCTGCGGCTGTTTGACACCTATAGGTAGCTGGTCTGTGGCCATTACCTGGGAAATCAGAGGTTCTAAACCAGTCCTTGATTTTGCACACCTTAAGGTTTACCGAGAGACTAGGAAAACCCACTTGTGGAGCACACCCCATTTTCAGGGACTTCTTTATGGAAGAAGAGCTTTCCTTCTCCTGTGTATCCTGGGCAGGACTAGCCTACCAGGAAGTATTTTGCTTTGGGGTGATTAGGTTTATGCCATGTATACCTCAGTGGTCACTTTGCCAGCAAAGGATGGCAGAGCCCTCAGTACAGATCTCTGTAACACATCTGGACAAAAGACACAGCACTCGATTTGGTGGCCTGGCTACACATCCACTCCACTCACCTGGGGTTCAGGATGGGCATGCACAGGGTGAGTTTCAGCCAGAAGAAGTCATCTTTCTCAAGACATCCAATGTGTCCCTCCATGTCCTGGACCTCCCCTGCACTCAAGCACAACTAATCTGCTCAGTGTCACTGCAAGTTGATAGAACTGGGCAGCTGAGCACATGTTGCTGCTACCATCTCATGGCCCTTTGTAGGAATCTGTTGGCATCAGTGTAACCAGGTTTGGGTAATCACTATTTGTGCTGGGTTGCTTCCTTCCCAAACACCGAAGCGAGTTATAGTTGGATTCTCTCTTAAAATGCCTTTCTGTGCAGGAATTCATTTATCTCACCAGTCTTGCAGAATAAAGTAGCCTTTACAACTCTTGCACCCATCTTATCAGTTGGCTTAAATACAGAAAGCAAGCTTTGGGAACTTAAGCCCTTGCTCATGGAGAACTCAAAGGGCTTTCAGGAAAAGTCATTTTCTTGTGTATTTCAACAGGACGTCTTCACATGATTGAAGTGACACGTTTGTTTGATGGCTGTCATCACAACACTCGGCCTCTTTGCACTGGATTGATTGCTCCTAGGAACAGGTAGATGTCATTCACCTAAGAACTGGGATCCCAGCTTCAACAGAATAAACAGACCTTTCCTGCACCTGCTAACTGCTGAAGCATTTCCTGGGCACAACAGACTCCATCAGTGATGAAGAAAGGAGGTCACTCACAAAATGAATCTTAGAGCAGCAGTGGCTACCTAGCAGCAGCCAGTGTTACATAGAGAGTTAAAATTACACCTCCTAGAGAGAATCCCTTTAATTCCCTCAGGTCTCTGATGAGTTTTAACTCAGAAGAATGGAGCAACATCTATAAAACCATCACAGCATTGAAATTAACAGGGTTGCTCCTACACACAGCAGATTTGCAGAATCAAAACAATAATTAGTGTCTTAATTTGGAGAGAGTTCAGAAAGGGGTAGGTTATCTTTCTTAGTGCCTGTCTCTGCTGTCATCCACCCCCCATGTCTTAGCACTACTTTTGCATTCATCAGCAAGACCAGTTAAAAATCACCCAAACTGCCATTTGACCAAGTGCTTATCTGCACAACTGCACTACCCATACCATCAGTTAGGGAAAAACAATTTCCCTTAGCTACTAGAGACAGCCTAATTACTGAATTTGACACATTATTAATGGTCCAAGTCAACAAAAACTATAATGGATGCTGATAAGCACGAGCTGCCTAGACATTTGGCACTTACAACCCAGCTAGAAATCACTACTGTGAAAAGCTGCCACTGGCCACAGGACTAAATTGTCTGATCTCTCAGGGTTCCATTTAACAGGTCTATCAACATGATAAAGAGACAAACTAGCAGCTTTAGTCCATTAATGAGGATTGTGAAACAGTATAACAGGATAAAAGATATTTATGTTGCAGGTTAATGAACAAATAAATCTCTGCTTCCTTTCTTTATAATTACAACACCCTCCTGTTTTACAGGGCTACTTTGGGGACAGAAATCATGTTACTGTGGACGAAGAAGGAGAGCAGCACACACACAAGGGTTCACAAGGAAATGGGCAGCAAGATCGAAGACAGAGGCATTCTTCCAAGCATTGTCAGCCCTCCTGTAACTCACAAGTGCTGCACTATTTCACGGCTCTGTTTTAAAGGCCCAATTACCAGACTCACATGATGCAATCAGAATCTCAGCTATTCATTTAGAAGAGGAAAAAGAGATGCATCCTTGCAGTTACTGAGAGCAATGCACGTATGTGTTTCTAAGCCAGAAAGCATGCAAAAAGGAACTCAAGCTATCAGTTATATATTGTAATCTCAGGGTTTTTCACACCACTCTTTTAACCATTTGGCACCTCTCCCCGAGGAATAAATGCCTGGAGGTAGCAGCACTGAAGCCATTTAAAGATTAAGAGAAAGAAACACCTTTTGCCCATATGCTTCAACTTGTAGTTAGCACAGTCCAACACTGACCATCACTGGAACAACTGCACCACAAAGGCAAACAGCAGCTCGCATCCCCAGCACCCATGAGACAGGTTCTTCACAGGAAAGTATTTAACTTGCATTTGGTTCATTGGCTTTTTTTTTAATTAAGCAGAACATTTTTCAGTGGTTTTTGTTGCTCAATTCCCTGTGCAATCTTTTATCCAACACTTCTGCATATAATCAAACTTCGCTGCATAAGCATCCATTCTCTATTGCTGAGGCAATGAAAGAGCTTAAGGGGGCTACTTGAGCAATCAATACTTCAGTAGATCTTCCATATGTTTTGAGACATGTGCCATCATTAAATAAAACTTTACACCACTGAAATACTTATCTCTGTATCTCTTCAGACCCCCAGCAACATGACAGCAACACCTTGGACAAATACAAGAAGAGACACCTACCCACTGAAGTGCAGGAAATTCAAATTCTTTAAACCAAAGCAGAACAAATTGAAAACCAGTTTCGACTGGAACCGCTAAGAGAACCACAACAATATCAGAGCATTTCATTAATGTTAAGATCTTTCACTGCTGCTGTGGTTCAACCCCAGCAGCAGCTCAGCCCCACGCAGCCGCTCGCTCCCCCACAGCGGCAATAGGGAGAGAATCGGAAAAGCAAAAGTGAGACAACTCCTGCTTGAGATAAAGACAGTTTAATGGGTACAGCAAAAGCTGCACTCAAGCAAAACCAGACAAGGAATTCATTCACCATTTCCAGGTGTTCAGCCATCCCCAGGCCAGCAGGTCTCTATCACGCGTAACAGTGACTTGGGAAGACAAACACCATCACTCCCAGCATCTCCCCTACCTCCTTCTCCCCCAGCTTCCCATGCCGAGCATGACGCCACACGGTCTGGGATATCCCTGGGATCAAGTCAGTGTCAGCTGTCTCACTGTGTCCCCTCCCAACTCCTGGTGCACCTCCAGCCTCCTCTCTAGTGGGGTCAGGTGAGGAGCAGAAAAGGCCTTGACTCCATGTAAGTACTGCTCAGCAGTAATGGCACATCCCTGTGTTATCAGCACTGTTCTCAGCACAGATCCAAACCATCGCCGCAAACCAGCTACTGTGGAGAAAATTATAACTCTACCCCAGCCCAAACCAGCACAATCACCCTCTCAAAAACATCTAGCCAACACCAATGGTTCATATGGACCACAAGACAATTTGTGATATTGGAGGTTGCAGACATCAAATGGACATAATTATGACCAGAGAGAGCAAGACATGACATTACCTGCAGGATGTTATTAGCCTAGGATGCTACTGTTTAAGCAGAGGCAAAAGGTGGCATCCCTCTTCAACACCAGGCTAAACAAGATGCCTCCCTCAAAACACTCCCTAGGAACTTTGGAACTCAGAAGGCTCAAGGAAAACAGTCCACCAATGGCAAGCAGGTTCACCTGGCCAGAACAGCTCCCCAGCAGGCAGCTGTTCTGCTTGAAACACACTTTCACACCCTGGACCACACGCTTGAATGCTGCAAAGGAGGCAGCTGATATTAAGGCAATTCAAAGAGGATTTTCCTCTACAAAACAGGGCTGCACGTTATTCATTTATTTAATTAGGTGAAAAAATTAGGCAGGGATCCCATCATTGTGTAACACTTCAAAATATTATTAGGCCAAAAAGGCAGTAATCCTGTTGTGTTAGGTTGTGTATAAATGAGCTAGACCTGTCTCTCTTGTAATAATAGCACAAATCATTACTATGTAACTACTCACCTGCCATTCCTCACTTGCCTCTCAGGAACTTCAAGAGTAGGCTTTGTACCAGTCCATTACTGCAGAGTACTTGAGGTCCTGGAGTCTCTGGACACTCCTCCCATGTGTGTGTGCATGCAGTAATGTTGCAGCCCATTGCAGACACGAAGCTTCCTACGCACTGCCAGTGAAGTCCCCTTCAACTCATGCTCCTGGCCCCACAGATTACATCACATACTGCTGCACTATAAAAACACAAAGAAAGTAAATTCTTTTGTAAGCATATAAACATTTCCAGGAAAAAAAAAATTATCAAAAATGGTCTTACGAAGTCCAAGAAAACACAGCATCTTTACACAGTACACAGTAACCTGCAGTAACCTGGGATCTTGTTGCCATTGCTATGCCTTTTCCCCTTTCTATAGAGTAATTATGGACATAACTTCCACCTATAGGATAAATCTCTGAAATTTTATCTAAATGTTTCTACATTCTAAGGTCAAGAAAGCTAACAGAGACAAAGTGAAGGCATTTTCTACTGCTGGATTACAACCCTGCAAAAACTAATAGAGGGAAAAAATACACTGTGTGGCATGAAGGTATGCAGGAACTGGAAAAAAACCTTTAACCAGTATTAGGAAAATATCCTTAAGCTGTGTTTGCTATATAAAAATTGATCCACAGTATACATATGTAACTGTATTTCACCATCCTGCATTCCCTGGATTTTTGAAAGCTATAATACAGTAGAATATTTAGCCTTGCTTGAAAAAGTTATGTGCTTCAGGGCTTTCTTCTGATCTCAGAAAATCTTTTACTTTCACGCCATTTGAGTTAATATTAAAACTCTTACTTAACTGTCACAAGGTGCTAAGGAAAACAGGTTCCATCAGTGTTACGGGCAGGTTTTCCCAAAACTTTTTTCACATTTCTACATCTACCACAAGAGGGAGCAAAGAGTCCACCTTCCTTCGATCTTCCATTCCAAAGAAGGGGTCTAGATAAGCAGCACGACGCTATTACCTATGACCAAATTCAGGCTAGGAGTTTAAAATGCTTTATACACCACACATGTCCCCAAACAATTAAAAGGGTCAGGTTTTTTGCTTTGAGAAAGGTGTTGCCTCGCATTCACACTGTGCAGAGCTCTCTTCAAAGCCAGCAGATGCTGCAAAACTCACCCAAAGAACAGAGTCATATCACAGGCTGGTAAAATCAAGACAATCCTGATGGAAGGAAACCTGCAGCTTCATCATAACAGTGTGAATAGGATATTTGCAATAAACTGATAAGTATTCCCACCCTTATCGGATATGGGGGGCAGGCAGGGGACAGATGAGAAAAACTACACCCTTCTAACTGCACATAGTGCTTTTTAATGGCAGTGTGCTATGATTTATCATTAAAACACTATCAGAAAATAGCTCCCTAAAAGAAAAAAAAAACAAACCTAAACCTCTTCTGCTAGAACATACTCAACAACAAAGAGGGAACAAGTTCTTTGCATAGGAAAGTCTCCCTGGTCATTCCTTCCTTCTCTCTCTCCCCACCCCTACCAACATTCCCCTATCTTCAGAACTCTTTTTAAGTTCTACTGTTATGAAACTGAATAGTTATAATGATTAGAAATTAATCTCAAATCCAGGCAGTTACAGGTTGCTGCTGAAATATCCTTATACATTGCCAGGTAATCCAGATGCAGATTTTCTAGGAGGAGGAGGAGAGAGTCCTCTGCTTCCCACTTACCTTCCTCTCAGATAAGGTTATTTGTGGAACTATCCAACTCTTTCCTCACATCTAGGCTGCACTGGTGCCGTCATTCACAACTAGTTTCCAACATGCAGATGAGAGGTTGGCTCAGTTCAGGTCCCAGCTACTTAGCTGACTCCTTCTGGTAATTTGCTCCATTCCAATTCCACAAAGCTACTCACAGAGTAATCTTACGCAGCCTCTGCTGTTCAGAAGTGGTTCGTAAAATAAAGAAGCCAAGTGACTAATGCCAATATCTTTTCCATGCTTTCAATCTGTTGAACCAAGTCACAGACTCTTCACAGATTAAAATAGTAAGCAGGTGCCCTTTTGTTTGTAATATCCCTGTGGAGTCCCTAGAGGTCAGCTTGGCTGTAGACCACAGTTACTTCCCTTTGCTACAGACAGCAGCTGTCACAAACACCATCCATGGCAGGCTCCAGCTGCTGGCTGGTACCAAGTATGCTACAGTTCAGAATGACACGTTTGCAGTTGAACACAAACCAGGTTTGATTCCCCTCACACTTGCACCGTTCTGAATCTGAAGCAGAACTACTGTCAGCAGAAAGGTGTTCCAAAATCACCCTTTTACCAAATGCAGGGCTCTCCAATCTTTAAAAAGACAAGAACGACTCAGAGAAGCAGTTCGCAAAACAGTGCAGGAATCTCACTACAACTACATCTGTTTTGTAGTGAACTTCTCAGCTATTCAGAAATGGCCATGAGCATATAGGCATGCTAAAAGAAACATACTGCTGAAGATTCTCAACTACTTATAGGCTGCTCCACTTACAATTTTGTCAGGAGAACAGATGCAGACACTGAGGATTTCTACAGTTACACCTACTCTAACATTTTTAGTCTATTAAAGTGGGTGCATTAAAGGGACAGTTTGATAGTTTAAGCAATTACTTCATATACATAGAACAGCCCATGACTTTTCCTACAACATTCCATCTCTCCGTGCCTCAGCACCCCATAACAAATGATGGCAACAGCAAAAAATGTTATGAAGAAATTGGATAAAGCAGCAATCACTTACTCTATTCATGAAAGAGTGAGACGGAGATTAACACCAAGACTGTAGCAGAGCCTCCCTTGCACATTACTGTACAGTTCACACTCTTCGAAGTTGAGTGATTTCAGTACCTGCAGTGCTGGGGAAGAACTGGGAATCTCCATATCTGCAAAAAGACATGGACAATACTGAAGAACACATCTGGCAGAGACATGTTTGTAAAGTAGTCATGATGATTAACCTGCATTCAGAAAAAAAACAAACCCCAAACCAGATTTCTCAGTGCTCATTGGGAAGCAAACCCAAGTTTATATTTAGGGTTTAAAAAGGTAAAATGCTAAGGCTATATTCCATGAGCACAACCCATTTTACAATCATAAATGGGTAAATGTCAACTATGAAGTATTTTAACCTTATTCAGGTTTCCCAGAGATAATTTATCAGCAAAGTCCAATACTTAGCAAAGACAGTATGACTATTCCCCATGCATGAGTACCTGAGGCACAAGTATATTGAGGTTTGTCCTGGAGGCCAGCAAAGAAACCAGGAACATGTTCTTCCAAGTCCAGTCCAACATTCTATCCAGTTAGTCCCTACACAAAGTAATTCAGAAAAAGAGAGTAATTTTCACTCTAGGAATGTGCAGCCATGAGAAGAGGACTGACATCCTTCAGAAAGAGTCAAAGCTGAACCCTTTAACAAAGATACATGCTGGCTTGTTAGCCTATTATCTGACACTTTGTCTTAAGAATGCTAAGAAAAAAAATAGAGTTGGTTTTACTTCTCCTTGGACTTGCTGCCCCCAGGCTCTACCAGACTTTTAAGACTTTCTCCATAAATGCAAAGTCTAAAAACTTTCAGAAGTTATGTTCTTTACTTTCTAGAAGAGATGAGAGTCTCGTGTAATTATGACCTCAAAAGGGGTGGCTTTAGAAGACCCAGTAAATATTACAGTATCACAGCAGTACTGCCAGAGGCACCCATGCAGCAAAGAGCTCTTCGCTTTTCACCTAGAGGGTTTGAGAGACAGTGTATTACAGCAGCTGCTGAAAGAACACCTATTGCAGTGTTTAGGTTGTTCAAGGTGTCTCTTACAATTCATTCACACAATTTCAACAGGAACTTCTTACAACCTCTTACATGCCAGCCCTTTGTGAATAATCTCTTTCAAGAACCAAAGGGAAGGCTGAAGCTCCCTTTATTTGCCTGCATAAAATAAAATGCCTGTGCAGGAAATACAACACAGATCTGAAATTAAGGCTGCAAACAGATTTGTATGGGGACACAACAGCTGGGTACCTGCTCCAGGCTGGCTGGTCAGAATGAGCACAATGACAGCTATGTCCACCATCTCAGAACAATGGCTTCTCCAGAGTTAGTCAACAACACCCCAATTCTTATCTCATTTGTTTTCCAACTAATATTTTACTTTGCTCCTGAATATGCAGAACAGAAAGGGAAGCTGATTTGCCATGTACTGTGCACACATTTTTTCCAAGCAGTCAGGTATGCCTAATCAGCAAAAAGCACCTACATTATTTTCAGAAGTTATTAACTGAAATGGGAAGCCAGCATACTGTGATTCCATTACAAAAGAGTTACTGCACTCAAGTGCAGCTGGTATAATAAGTATCAATTGCCTGAGAGAACCTAGCTATTCCAACTACAGCTCTGTCCCACAGCATTCAGACTTGAAGTCCCCCAGTATTTACAGGATTGCCACACATAACATAGATTTAAACCCGTAAAAAGAAAGAGAGGTGCTGATCTTCAAGTTCACCCAGATCTTCATGCAGCTGTGTAAAGCAGAAATACAATGAAAGAGAAATTGCATTAATAAGAATATTGAAACAACCTGGAGATGTACACTGGCATCAAAAGATGTTCTGCACCTTCCAGGATCTGCTTCCTAGAACCAACCAAAGTTGACTCAGAGCTCCCATCAGAATCACTTCTGGTTTATCCAAGTTCTGCACTTCCATCTCCAGTAAGTAGCCATCTGCTTTCTCCAAGCCAGGAAAGGGACATGCTGAACTGTCAAACTAACTCCTTGGGCATTTTTAAAACAATTTTTCCTATTAAGTTTGTCACATATTTTACCTCAGAACTTCCTTTCAGTATAAACATAGACAGACTTTGTTTCTAAACCTAAATATTAAACTTCATTAAAATACACTTATGTACATAAAGCACTATAAAGCATCGTGCACTGATGCACATAATCAACGTGTCCTTAAACCAAAAAAACCTTTCAAGCCCAGCAAATACCAGTCTCCCTTATGCAGCTGGAACTGTGATTTCAACTACAAACATACGTGGATGCTTCCTGTCATCTTTCAAACACTTTATGGACAAGGTCAGGTTTACAATTCATCTGTCGCATTTTACTTTGCATGGAAGCCAAAGAAAATGAAGAAAGCAGTAGCAACAAGGTTGGTTAAACATGAAATTATGAGCATGTCATTTAGATCACACTCTTTAAGGGCACTTTCCAATGGCATTAGGCAGCAGCTACAACACAGCTTGTCCAGCTCATGACAAGACACAACTGAATTCCAAAATACCAAGTCAAAAGTCAGTCAGCCTGAAGAGATCTGAAAACAAAAATGTGAGGTGGGCTGACCTTGATTGGACACTAGGTGCCCACCAAGCTGTTCTGTCACTCCCCTCCTCAGCAGGACAGGAAGGGGTTTGTTTGGAACACACAGAAGTATCAAAACTTGGTCATTTTTGGCTCTGGGAGATCTCATTGGAGTCCCTGGGCCTGCTCTCCAAGATTCAGGGGTTTCTCCTTGGGAAAAGACGCATGTGCAACTATAACCTGAGAAGAAAGCAAATCACAGGGTATTCCACAACCAACAGATTCCTCAATAAGGTTCTGGCAAAGCTGCTTGTGGCCGGAGGAAGAAGTTAGATCACTGAAATCCAGCTTCCTGGAATTGAAAGGAACTCTGTTATAGACATTTGCTTCATAGTATGCACAGAACCACTTTCCACCACAAATGAGTCCCTAAGCCCTTGAACACAGTTAAGGTCTTTGGTATGTGAAGAAAAAGCTGCTAAGAAAGACAACTGCAAGCAGAGAAAACCAAACCCCACATATATTTAACATAAGCCCTTCTGCATCAAACAGTGCTGAGTTCCTTCAGCCAACGGGCCACTTTGACACCACCCGGTGAATTTATGCAGCAGGAAGCCTTTGTCCATAGCAGGGAATGCTGGTTTCCTTCAGTATTGCCATGTAAACTCATGGCAGATGGAGAAGACTAATTTTTTTTCTCTCCACTCTAAGTTTAAAGGGTGCACATGCCCACACCATGCCCCTCCAAAAGGCTAGTGTTTTCCACATATAACTTGAAAAGCAAAGATGACTTCCAAACCCCTCTCCTCTAAAATGGGCCCAGTTGAAAACTACAGCTGTGTTCGGGAATGCAGGAGTTCAGTTACATGACCTCTCTTTGCCTCCCTGTGCCCTCCATAACATTTACCACTATTACATGGCTCTGCAACCTTAGTTATCCCCTGATGACATGCGTCTACAGGGAGAAGCCAAAGAGGTCTGGCTCAAAATGCTGCCTGAGGTTTGAATCTCAGGGTCAGGATCTGAACAGGACAAGAATCTGGGAAAGCTCAAGAAAATTCTATGTTAAAAAAAAATACTTTCTATAAATGTACCCCTTAAATATAGTCACCTCTTACAAATGCAGTCTACTTTTTCAAGATTTAGCATTATAAATGCTTTCCCAAGGCTTCTCAGGGAAGGTGCTGCAGGAATGGGTTTATGCAAGTATTGCTTCAGGCCAAACAGTTCTTTCACAGTAGTGAAAGGAATAAAGTTGAGGGCTAATTCAGTGAAGAGCCTTGTGGCAGAGCAGTGAGACAGCAAGAAGAGGTCTGTCAGGAGCCAAAGAGAACGCTAAAGCATTCACACAGGCCCAGTGAGGTAAGAGGAGGGGAGGACAAAAGAAATAACTCATTTGTTTGTGGACTATGATGACAGAAGGAACCAAAAGGTTATTCAGCTAGGCATCTTGTATAAAACAGGTCACAGACTGAGGAAACATCTCCTTTATGTCTTCAGCTAAAACGTAAACCATCCAGTCTTGGTGCAAAGACAGAGAATCCAGAACTTCACCAGTTTTGTTGTTTTAGCTATAAGCACACGCATTTTTAAATCTAAGCCTCATTTCTAACCTAAATTCGTCTGGCTTCAGCTTTCAGCCATTTTTTTTTTAGTTTATTTTAGGCCTTTTTCTGCTGCACTCTCTATAAGACTCTCCAGAAACCGGTATTTCATTCTCATCCCCCAAAATCTAGACCTCAAAATCAAGTCATTTTGTCATCTAATTTATGTCAGTCTCAAGCAGTACACCACAGCAAAATCACAGAACTGCTGGAAGTCTCTCTGCGTAGGAAATACTTTTTAAACCTCCTGTTGACAAATCATTGCTGCAACAGCACTGACAACAGAATTCTAGCAGGAGTGAAATTAAAGATCTCCAGGGGGGAAAGGCTCGATTTTGCATGGTTTGTGCATTTTCCTTGCTCTTGTGGCCCACACCACTTTGCAAGGCCGATTTTAAAAAGCTGAATTCAACAAGTTTAAATTCGGCAGAAGCAACAGAGAGTCAAACCCTACTGTCCCTTGTCTTTGCGTGTAAGCAAGCGAGCTCCTCTCACACTTTTGCCTTCTGGCAGGTGCTGTCACTGTCACTCCTTGCTCCCTGTTCCCAGCAGCAGAGCAGGAGCGAATGGGAGCCCCTTCCCAGCATCAGGTCTCGATGAGCCGGTCGAGGCTCTCCGCTATCCCCGCCGGTACCGGCACAACTCCAGCGCAGCCGCTCCAACCCCGCGCCCCCGGAGGAGGCTTTAACAGGCTATCGCCGGCCGGGAGCGGAGCTGAGCGGCCGCACAGCGGTTTCGACCCGAGGGTCGGGCTCGGCCGCCGGGCAAGCGGAGTCACCTGCCCCGGGGGGAGGCCACAGCGGGCCCGGCCCCTGCGCGACAAGCGGGGCCCGGCGCGTCCCACCCCCGGCCTTGACGCCAGCGCGCTAATGAAATGCTAATGCCGGGGCGCGGAGCCGGGCGCTGCCCGCGCCAATAAAACCCGGCGCAGCGCGGGGGCCGTGCCCGCAGCCAGCCCGCAGTCATGCAGAGCGCGACCCCCGCCGCCCCGCCGGCTCTGCACCTCCTTACCTCCTACTTCATCGACAGCATCCTGGGCGCGGGCCGGCACGGTGAGGGGCGGCGGGGCTGGCGGCGGGCCGGGCGGGGCGCTACCCGCTCTCGCCCCGGTAACTCCCCGCTTCTCTCTCCTCAGGCGAGGAGCGCCCGGCGGAGGAGCCGGTGGGGACGGGGCGGGGGGGGGGCCCGGCCGGCGCGGAGGCGGCAGAGGGCGGCGAGGCGCCGGGTCCGGCCAAGAGGAAGCAGCGGCGGTACCGCACCACGTTCAGCACCTTCCAGCTGGAGGAGCTGGAGCGCGCCTTCCGCAAGTCCCACTACCCCGACGTGTTCACCAGGTAGCGGCCGCCGGCGCGAGCGGGCGGGAGGACGGGAGGGGCCGTGCCGAGGCAGCGCGGCAGCTAACGGTGTGCTGCCCCCGCAGAGAGGAGCTGGCCGTGCGGCTGGACCTGACGGAAGCCCGAGTGCAGGTGAGTGCCGGAGCGCGGGGCCGCTACAGCGGCGACCCCAGCCCTGCCCGCGGGGGCTCGGTCCAGGTTTCAAAGCAACTTCCCGAGGGCTTCATCTCCAGTCCTCAGCTGGGCAAGAAGTTAATAAAGGGGGGGGGGGGATGTCGCGTGCCGCCCGTTTCGGTTAGTTCTTAAAGGACGCAGAAATGGACGAGTTACCTCAGCGACGGGCAAACAAACAGCGACTTAGAAACGTTCCCAGCCTTCCGTTCACGCTCGCATCTGCTGCCGCCTTCGTCAGTCTAAAGGCAGGTGCTGTCTCCTGAGTTTAGAGATGATAAAAACAGTATAAAAAAAAAAAGA